ATCCCCACACTATCCCTCTCTAAAAATCAGCCTCCAACCCACGAAATTCAGGAGATAATTGGGTGTTTTTGAAGCTACATAACAAACAAAAAGGTAAGATCTTACATCTTTTGAAGATCCATAACAATTTTTACAAGTTTCCTTGTTATTTTCATCTTTTATTTTTGGATTTTATAACCTTTCTTGTCATTGATCTTGATGTTTGTAGATTATCACTATAAACATGTTGCATGTTATGAAAATAGTGATAATCTATGATCAAAACAAAGTTGAGACCAAATATGAACACATGCAATCTCTAAACCATTATAATACTATGAGTTGGCTTTCGAACCCAAAAGGCCTCTTTGGAAATCAATAAGATTTCGATTTTAACAATTTTTACAAAACAGTTGCTCCAACAGCTATTTTCTTGGGAGTACTTGCATTATGTTGCATGTTAAAGAGAGTAAATCATCACTAAAATCCTCAAAGTTTTTTTTGAACTCCTAAAATGTTAAACTCAGTGAAAATAAAATATTATGGGTTAAATCATTGTTGAAATGTTAGTACAAAATCTTAAACTTTCAACTCAGTTTTTAAGATCATACAAAAATAAACTTTCATTCCTATATTTCATGAAAGTTAAATGTTCTATTAAACACCAAACTAAATACAAACAAATTTTCTGCAAAAATCATATTATATGAATAAGTTTTCTGCAAAGTTTCAAGTGTTAAAACTATTTTCTTATTTTTTTTAAAAAAAAAATGAGTAATTTAGAGCCATAAATACAAAATAAATATTTATATAGGTCAATAAATTCTAGAAATATTCATGGATAACCTATACTGTAAATCAACATCTTCCATGAAGTTTGAGCAATTGTTATCACTGTTTACCATTATTTTAGATTTTATTGTTATTACACACAAACAAATAAAAAATTCGTATTCTGAGTTCTCAAAACCACATTTATTATTTTTCAAAGCTTCTATATATTATATAACCTACACATAAAAATTTGGAGAAATTTCCACAACCGTTTTCTATTTGTCCAAGATTTAATGTATATTAAAAGATTAAATAGAGGAAAAATAGTTGAACTTATCCAAAAATCATAAAAATTTACCAAGAAATCTTTTATTAAATTATAATCACAAATAAAAATTTTGAAGATTTATAGTAACATTTACTACTTATTTCTGTTTTCTTGGTATTAAACACACTTAAATTTTAAAAATTAGGCTTTACTCTTCAAAGGATTTTCAGTATTTTTCCCAGATTATGGACACTGTAAACCAGTTACACAAACATTTTAAGAGTTTTTAATGACCATTTACTATTTTTCCATGATTTTATGATGTTTTTAAGTCATAAATGAAAGAAAAATAGTTAAGAACATCTAAAAATCATGAAAATTTACAAGCAAGTTCTTAATTGCAGTAGGAACAAAACAGTAAATTTTGGAAATTTTTAGACCTAATTTAATTTAGCTTTTGCATTTTTATCTTGTAAAACCCTTCCAAATATGCTAAAATACATTCCGAACAATAAAAAAATAGGATTTGTCACTTGCTAATGTTAACAAGTCAATTGGTATATTGACATCTGAATTTTACAGAATAGTATTTGCAACTTATGTAAAATGTAATTTTGACACAATATTGACATAACTCTATTGTAGTAGTATTAGATTTCGATTAGAGACCCATTAGTGTGTAACATCGTTGTAAGAATCGGTAGTGGTACGAGTGGAGGGTAGTTCAAGGCACCATTTACATCATCTCAAAGCATTGTGAGTATTCACAACCCCTATTTTCGGTTTTTACGTTTTGGGGTGGAAAAGCGTGTCCAAAACTATTTATGTTCGTTGTAATTAGATTTACTTGTATCAAACTTGGATGTTATATTTTTCATGTATGTGTATGTTACTTTAATTCATGAGGCATGTATCGCGGTTAAGTCCCTGGAATCATTTAACAGAACTCATTAACTCTTTTGAGCCCATGTCAATATAGATAATGCTATTATGAGGTAGACAACTCCTCACTCGCACGATTCACAGAGAGCATTTTACCATTTTATTCACTATGTTAGCGATGCACATAGTAATCAATAGGGCACGATTTGGTTATTAGGCTTGGGTTGTGAACTCATAGATGGAATCATTGTGCACATACGAAACTTGTTTACTTGTTTTAGCAACGAACTTTATTTCCCATGAGAATATGAACTTTGCATCTCATTTTGGCAATGTACTTTATTTCTCATGATGGCAATGAACTTATTTACTTATTTTATCAATGTACATTTATCTATGGAAAATTATATCAAAACTTTGATTATGATACATGAAATCACATTTTTGTAAACTTGTGAACTCACCAACTATTTCTAAGTGGCACATAGGGACACACCACTTGTAGGAGCATTTACGTGTGTTGTTTTATTTTAATACATTGTAATTTCTTTTAAAAATATTCAAAAGTTATTGTAAATTGTAATGTTTTTTAATACTATGGTTGGTGTTATCTTTATCTTTTGCTATGAAACCCTTTGTACTGTTGTGCCTCGTGTTTCCTTTTAGCGGGGTGTGGCTGGAAATACCTTTATTACTAATTAAGGTTAATTGGTGTATTTAATTAGGTGGATTCTAGTTCCGGTTGTTCGAGTGTGAGTTCTATCAGTCATCAATACCAAGTGAGTCTCCTCACTTATTCTTACCTGTGTGGTAGAATAATTGTATATGTGTGTAACGACCAGTTGGGTCAAAATGTTATTACTGTGTTTGCATTGTTTATATGTGTTGAGACTTTGGGTAGTCTCCAGGGTTGTTGATAACCCACAAGGCGTGTTGTTTGCCCACTGAGACTTCGGGTAGTCTCTAGGGTTGCTGATAACCCATAGTTGTTTTAAATGTTGTGTTGTATGCGATATTTTGGGGATCTCACTAATATTTGCGCTTACAGTTGTTGATTAAATGTGTTTCAGGTACTTTTGAGGATCGTGGGAAAGCAAAGGCTTGATTTTACACATTTGTCGGAAGATTATGTTATTGAATATTTTGGGACACTCTGATATTTTGATGTGGAATTGTATTTGACATTATGATTTTCTTGGGATGGTTTTTATGAAAACTATTTTTATGTGGAATTTAAAATGAAAATTTTGGTTTGAAATTTTGGATGTTACAAATTGGTATTAGAGCCCTGGTTTGAGGGATTTGGATGAACTCTAGGGGAATTCCAAACTCAAACTATGGATCTGAGGATTTTTATAAAAACTTTTCAAAAAGAAATGAAGAATTCCAATGGAGGAAACCCGATGAAGCAGTGTGTACAATCAACTAGAGCTCGAGTGGTCGTTTCGCAAAATATCTCTATTATTCTATGAGTAGAGTAGAGCTAATGTCTTATAAACTGATAGAAATACATGCTAGTGATAAGCTAAGGATCCTACATGAAAAGTGTGATAGGATTGCCTGAATTGTGATGCTTTTAGCCTAGTAGGTTGCTTTTATAAGATTGAATCTATCTTAACTAATTTCTTAGTGTATGCCGCATGATTGTACATAGTTAGGGTTTTATAGCCTTAGAATGTCTGATATAGCCTTTCTTTCTATTCCTTGTTTGGTTGTGGACTTGAGGTGAAATCATTTATTCGACTATCAATCGAGTCATGCATTTTGTACGATTGGCATGCGCGAAGCAAATGGTGAAGATAACAGAGATCTTGTGAGGCGGAACGGTGCTGGGAAGCAGTCTAGAATGAGTACCTGGATGTTTAGTAGTGGTTCTAAGGAACCTAGAAGTAGTGTTTACCAACACTGCTTGACTGCAACATCATGACTGTCTGGCACCATCACACAAACACCTAACTGGCTTGGATAGTTGGCAGCTAGCTGGGCCTGAATTGGAATGGCCCAAGGCCCAATTCCTCTTGACCTAATTATCCCTTATAAATAAAATACTTCCTCATCCATAAGCAGGGGACTGTTCCAGATCTCTCTGATGGCTAGATCAACCGTCATTACATACACACACCCTTGGATCGCAAAGATGGTTCTCTCCCGCTTGGAGAAACCATCTCCTCATACAGACCGATCTAACTTGATTGTCGGAGTCTTCTCATGGAGCACAATCCCCAGGGGCGATTCTAGCAGTCTTGTTACCTGGTTGCAACAAGGAATCTAGTTGGGAACCTGCTAACAACACTCATCCCCGATCCAGGATCCAGATGACCGGATTCTGAGTTCGCATCATCAGACACATACAAATTCATACACGGAGACAAACATAAATAGTACCAAAACACACAAAAAAAAATCGAATAAAAAATACACTAGGAAAAATTAAAACCCTACAAATAAGAATCAGGAATGATTGTAGTCCAAGTAGCATTTTCTTTGTTTCGGTGGGAATAAATTGTGCAAACATTTTTTAATGATAGCAATAGAATTGAAAAACATTTATATGAAGTCCGAACGCAAAAGAATTGAAGAACATTCATATGAAGTCCGGCATACGGTATCCAATTCAAATTTGAAAGAAAATAATTCCTGATTTATTGGGATTACGTTGATAATTGATTGTTGATTCTACAGTTTGATTGGTGATTCTACAGGATTCATCATAATTATAAAATATTTGAGCGGGAAAAAAGCCAGGAGGATATAACATCATACGGCATAATTTACACTCTTTTATTAGAATAAAAAAATACCCTTCAAAGGTTTTTTTGAACATTTAACTATAGAATATAAATTATAGTGAGAATTTATAACAGAAGTAAGAAAAAGTAGAATAAAGTTAGACTATTATCAAAAGAAAGTCATGAAAAGTGAGATGAGATGTATTTTGCCTTATTACATCTCAACAAGTTGCTTTCTGTTTCATCAAATTAATCTCAGCAACAATTAACAACTCCAAAATAAAGCATATATTTCCCCTCATAAAAAAAAACAAAGGAAATTCAATAATTTCTTTCAAACAAAGCACATACGATATTCATTATTACATAGCTTCTTTCAAACAAAGCACACATCATCTTCATTACATAGATTCTCTTGAACATAATAAATAAACTAATTGGGATCCCAGAACTAGCATATCTACTTTTATATATAGAAAAGCAACTGAAAATTCCAAGAATATAGATTTACTTTGAAACATATATAGTATAAATTGTAGAGTATACTTTTGGGGCTCTCCTACAGCCACCTCGACCTATGTAAGACAGTGGTGCAGTGTACTCGCTGGATTTTGGACTGAACAACTTAAATATACGGATAGTTATCTTCAAGTTTGCTTTCAGCCTCAAGGAATCACAATTGTGACTTTTGTCGACCGTAATTGTTAATTGTATCATTTTCTTCTAATAGTGGACAGCAAAAAATCCTTGGCCTGGAAAATCAACAGATGGCATGTAAGTTGACGAGGAATAAACATTTTTGCAACAACAATTTTACATGAAACACATTAAATATTTGATCAAGAAAAATCAATACAATCATCGGAGGGTGACCTCGTAAAAGAGGAACCGTGTGACTTGTGGTTTTCTCTAAGGTTGTGTTTCCTAATGCTTAAAGAGTTGTTCTAGATGCTGTAAGCTTAATTTCTTCATTTCATTGTTTAACTTGTATTCACAAGGTTTATCAGCTTTTAATCTTCACCATTCAAATTTAATCCAATAGCCCAAATTTCATCTCCTTGGTTTATGACTTTGGTCTTAAAATCTTTGGGACCCACTATTAAATATGTACTGTATAATAGTAGAGATATTGTAAATTTAAAACCACTAATCAACCCTCTTTTTTCCTTTTTTTTTCTCACATTAGCATTCCTAATTCCAAAATCAGTAATAGGATTCTCACGATTCAGAATATCATTTAACATAACTAGGAAGTTACCATTTCCAATCCAACAAGTAAAAAAAAGAGTATAGTGAAAGACCGCAAAACATTGGATAGTGAAAAAAAGAGGTAACCTTGGAATAAAAGGACAAGATACCAACATCAAAGTAAGACGGTTTGAAACAAAATATGTGCTCCGTGTTGCGCCTTGCTGAGGTTCTACTTCTTAAAGGCATCAAGCTTTTCATATCAAACTTTTCTTCATAAACGCGAGTGTTGCCAGAAATAATTTCATCATATCGAAGATACATATCATCAACATGCACTACGTCCACGTAATCAGAGATAAAAGTTGTAATCTGTTGAACGTCTTTTTTGTAGATAACATGTGCCCCACATCTCACTGATTCTGTGCCATCTACTGATGTTACAGTCATGTCAAGATTACCTTGAATATGAGACCAGTCTTCAGGTTGAATATCATGGTACATCTGCTGAAAGAAATCCAACGGGATATAGCTAATCCACAGATTTGTATTCTCGGCTGTTTCAGTTGCATTAACCTCCGGCTTAGGAGTGGCCGCTCCATCCTTTGTAATTCTGAAGATGATGCGAGGATGAAGATTATATCTCGACCACTGGTAAGTAAACACGCCACATACCACGAAACCCAGGATCTCAGTATGCCATTTCTGAGGTAACCTCAGTCCTATTCTGCACCCATCCATTTGTTTTTCGAACCAGCTTGGAATCATACTTCCAGGGATAGTAATACTTAATCGATGATTTACAGCAGCACATTTCTGTAATTAACCAAAACAATCATGCTTTCTTAAACAATATAAAAGTTGCTTCCAAGATATGGGGAGCAGGAAGCCCAGGTTTGCTACACAGGACATAACAAAACATGTATTGACTGATATTGCGTGAAAAAAGACCCGCGAGCAGCCTAAATAAATTAAATGATATTAGAAAGATAGAGATGAACCATGCACCTTAATGAAAGATAGTTGCAGCATCTTATCAAGGTATCTTTGATTCTCTTCATCTTCTAAGAGGTTCTGGTTATGACTCAGCCATATCTTATACAACCAGTCACCCTCTTTTGATAGATCTCCAATCTTTTCCAGTGTATGCTTGATGGAAGCCCTCACAGTCTTTGAAGTCGGGAGCACCCATTCACCTCTAGGCGTCTAAGACGAGAAAGATGGCAGATGCTTGCAGGTAACTAAACTAATTTATGGTTGCCACTTAAATATAATTCTTCCAAGGAGGACAATTCATCAAGATTTTGGGGGAAACTTTCCTCTTCAATTTGTCTCCAACTTAGATTTATGTTTTTCAAAGAAGACAAACTTGTCAAACTATGAAAGCCAACAAACATATGTGGCCATTTAACAATTTCACACATAAATCCTAGCCACAGCTCTTCTAACATTTTCATGCTTCCAAGCTCCTTTGGAAAACTTTTCAGGTTCATGCAGTTGTGAAGAGAAATGAACTTAAGACACCTTAACTCACAAATAGAGTTTGGTATGTTCTCAAGATTCGAACACTCTGTGAGATTCAAGAGGCTTAGGCTAGACAAATATCTGATTGATGATGGCAGTTCCTTTATTGTATAACAAGAAGAAAGATCTAATTGTGATAGTTTAACCATACATGGGGAGACTTCTGGGAATCTTTCAAGGCTCTTGCATCCAGAGAGAATTATGCGTTTAGTTGCGGAAAAATGAGCCGTTTTCCGGAAAAATTTTCCAAGAAAAATGAGAATTTTGAAAACGCGTTT